ACTTGATTTCCCTGTCCCTGGTGGCCCAAACAACAAGTATCCCCTCTTCCATGCCTTGCCCACCTTCCTATAGAACTCTTTCCTATTCACAAATCTTTCAAGATCATCAATCACGCTATTCTTGACTTCTGTATCCATTGCTAAAGTTTCAAAAGTGGCTGGATGATCAAGATTCACAGACTGCCATGGATTTCCTCTGGGACCATGCCTCTCACTCTTCAAAGTCAACAATTTCAATGTTTTCCTTTCTTGTTTAATGGATTTGGATTTTTCCACAATATAAGGCAAATACTCATCAAGAACCTTGTTTTTGTACTTCTTATGAAAACTTAACTGGAAATATCGAACCTCAGACTGTATAGTGGAAGACTATTCATCAGGATATGGCACGTACCTTGCTTGAGTTTGTCTGATAATCATTCTCCATTTCAGTTGGAACCCACAAAATTTATCCCTTAGTTCTTCATTTCCTTCCATTGAAACCTGGATTTTCTTCTCCTTTTCGGGCAATGAGGCTCGAAATATTCTGGTGGAGGGATTAAAAATGGTGCCCAGGTAGATTTCAGCAGCAGAAAAGAGTTGGTTTTTGTTTAGTCCTTCATATTCATCAATGACTGCGATGATTTCATTGGTGAATGTGGCTAGAAAGTAGTGAAATTTGGTGAGGATATATTGTCTGATTTCATGGGGAACAAAATCTTTGGCAAAGGATCGGACTAACATGGTCGTGGCAGCTACAGAAGCTGCAGTTGAAATCACTGCTTTTGTTGAAGGTATTTCGATATTTGGTAGCATGATTTCTTTGGGATATTTGGCTTTCGGAAGCAGTTTTTAGAAATATGAAATCTGATTTCGAATTTGAGCCCGAGATTCAAATAGCCTAAACCGTTCAAAAAATTCCTCTCAAAAAACACAAATTTGAAAAGAAGATAGGAATTTTGATGGATTTTTTTATTTTTTATTTTTTTCCCATGGATGCAAGTAAGAATTGTGGGATTGCGAATGAGGTTAAAGGGCACTAGTCTTTATGGGGTCAGTATAGAGTGAGGGATACGTTGGTTAGAACTGGAAAATGACAAATGAAGACAGACTTTGGGCAACACTTTTGCTCTCTTTTTCCTGGTGACTTCGTTCTTTGGCTGAGAGTGCCTTTTTCCACTGACTTAAAGGGAAAATTACAGTTAAGGTATCAAATCTTTCATTTATTAGCAGACTTTGTCCAAACCTTTCATTTGTATCATCGTGAATAACAAACCTTTAAAAAATTTACATTTCAAGTCTGAAATTATGATTTTTGTTAGTTTGACTACCAAAACTGTCAGTTGACTTTCAAAATAATTTTTTTTTATTATTTTCCCTAAATAAGGCAATGACATTTTGGATAAAACACATTTTCCCTATTAAATTTCAAAAAAAAAAAAAAAGAAGAAAAAAACCCACAACCCATCCCCGTCTACTTCTTCCCCAAAATAAAAAACACTATCCAATCGCCACATCCACCACTGACAGTCACCACTACCCACTCAACATTGACTAGGGATGTCAATTGGGTCGAGCCGGCTCATGGCTCGCCAAAGCTCGGCTCGTGGGCTGCTCGGGCTCGTCAAATGACAAGCCCGAGCTCGAGCCGAGCGGGGGGTCTCGTCCAACGAGCCGAGCGGCTTGTGGGCTCGTCCAAAAAGTGGAAAAAAATAAAATTTGAAAAATGTGCAAAAAAATAAAAAATAAAAAAAATAAAAAATCACAAGCTCAAGAGCCGATCGTGGGCTCGGCGAGCTCGTGGCTCGTGAGTACAGGAGCTCGTGGGCCGAGCCGAGCTCACCCACGAGCAACGAGCCGAGCCAGCTGGACTCGACCCACTGCCATCCCTAACACCAACATCACCATTAAAGCTCAGCAATGATATCTCTGCAACCTCTCACGAACTCCAAAAATTCTCTGCTGTACTGCTGTCCCTTTCTCCCCAAAACCCTCAAGAATAAACCTAGAACCCTCACTGTCCACTCTCTCCTCCAGTACAACCGCAAGCCCCGGCTGGTCGGGGAGAAGGGAGAATATGAAAGAATGGCAAGTATTACAAATTTTCTTTAGATCTTAAAATGAGCTTCAAAAGCTACCCAATAGACAAAATGCAGTGGAGTTTAATTAAATTTCAAATGTGCATTAGACAAAATAGGAAATAATTCCATTATTTTGATACCACAAAAACTAAAATAATTTTTAGTTTTGTACCTTTATTGGTTACATCTTGGACCTCAGCGAAGACTTGTTTCTTCTCTTCAGGCTCGTTGACGCTAGATTCGAATTTAGGCTTTGAATCTTGGTTCGACTCTGCTATTTCTTAGGGGGCATCATGTTCAAATGAAAAAAATCGAAAACTCGAAGAGAAGCAATTGATTATTGGTGCATTACTGGTTTGATTACAGGTGCTGGGCGAATAGTGGTGGCTGTGACGATTGGATAGAGTGGTTTTGATTATGGGGAATAAGGAGATGGGGATGGGTTGTGGATTTTTATTTTATTTTTTTGTTTATTTTTTCATTTAATTGGAAAAATGTGTTTTATCCAAAATGCCTCAGCCTTATTTGGGGAAAATAATAAAGTTTTTATTTTGAGAGTCAATTGACGATTTTGGTAGTCAAACTAACGGAAATTATCAATTTGGATTTGAGCTGCAAATTTTTTAAATATTTGGGTACTCATGGTGGCACAAATGAAAGATTTGGATAAAGTCTATTAATAAATGAAAGATTTAGTATCTTGACTGCAATTTTCCCTTGACTTAATGATTTATGAAAGTACCTTTAGTTGGACTTCGACTTGGAAAAGAGGGTAGAAAGGTAACCGCATCCACAATTGAATTTCCAAGTAAAATACTTTACGACCATCCACAATTGAATTTCCAAGTAAAATACTTTACGACTTTTTGCTTAGTGTTACGGGTGCTGTGTAGCTTTTTTCATTGAATTTTGTTTTTGACCATTTCTTTGATTCTTTTTATAGACAAGATAAATAATTAGAACTCGTTTATCCTTAAAAATTAACTTGTATTCTAACTTATGCAACTTAATTGACGAATCATAGCATCCCACCATTTAATTGGGAATTAGTCTATACGTACAGAACTTGTACAGAATACACACATACAAGGGTGAGTAGATTATTTTTTACAATATTTTAATTCATCTCATCAGAGGGTCTGTAAGTTTTCTATATATCTTTTTTTCACCTGTACAATCAGTATTTTCCTTTAATTGGAGAACATATTTTTTATAGAATAATGCTTGTGGTACACCGAGGTGTTCAACGGGGTGTCCATCGACACCTCGATATTGGCCAAGGCGCGGGTGAGCCACGGCGTGGCAGGCGCCTTGGCTAATGCTGAGGCGCTGGGTGTCCATTTTGGACACCCCGTTGGATACCGCAATGTACCCATAGCATGATTATTTTTTATAAGCTGGAATCTTGAACATCTAACCTATTCAAATATATATTCCAGTGCACATGTGTGTACGGAATCGTAATTAAATAGTCGTGGAACTTGTTTATTTTCTGTTTTTTAATTTTACATGATTTGTGGAAACTACACATCAAGAAATTCTATAATATGAAGACAAATGGCTAGTCTGAACTCCATTCTGGTAAACATGCCAATAATTCTTAAGAGTGAACTAATCTCAAGGCATTGAATGGCCGAAAAAAGAAGAATGATTCATCTTTCTATTGGGGCTATTTTAAAGACTGGTGAATAAGAAACTGCATTAATGCTACAAATACTACAAAATCGTCGGCCACCCGTGCTAGATAATAATATCAATAGCAACTTGTGTTTCACAGAAAATATTCTTGGTGCAAAGCAACTAGTACAACGACAACAAATTAAGCTCAGTTCCTAATAAATATTGGCTACATGAGTACTTTTTCTTCACTTAGCTCGATTCATTATCACGTCTACTGAAAGATCTAAAGCAACAAGATCATCATCAAGTCTATGACCAGTGTTCGTTTTACTCTACACCTCTCTCTTCTATAGAGATCACGTTACTCACATGAACTGATAAAACAATCGGAAAAATGCCACGTGAAAACATACTTTGGTTCCTAGGTTATACTTGTTAGGATAATTGGCGGTGGCCATGGATGTGTTGCTGCTCACCTCTCCGTTAGACCAATTAAAGCATCTATGTCCTTAATGTAAAATACACGGGATTTTATTTTAAAATGTCAATCTTATTGAGAGGAATAATTCAATTCTTTATAAGTTGGCCTAGGTTATTACCTTTATTCGATGTGAAATTTATCTTTACCGTGTCCACACAAAATGATGACTCGTTTGAACAAATCAATCTTAAAACATACGTGCTCATTTTTTTGAGTGTTAATTAGATCAAATCGCTCATTTGAGTTTAATGGATTCTAATACCATGTAAATACTTGGAGATTTATCATAAAAGAACCTTATTAAGAGTAGTAGTCCAATTCTTTATAAGTTGACCTATGTCATCATCTTTATTCCATGTGAGATTTATTCCTTAACATTCAACTGTGAGGATCGTTGCTCTTCAACTCGCCTACTTCAGTGGGGTCACCTTGGTTGTCCCAGTCAATTGCTCAACTTCCATGACAGGTGGGTGCTTCGTGATACCAAGTAGAAACAAACGTTTTGAAACCACGGGGAGTGCTAGGAGACGTGAATATGCACATCTCTCGCTGTTTTCCACCATTTTTTTCACCTTCATCCTAAACTTATTTTATGTTGCCTATATTTTGCTCTTGACCATTTCTTCGATACTTTCTATATCCATGATTAGTAATTAGATCTCGTTTCTCCTACAAATCATAATCGTCTTCTTGAATATGCATCTCAATGGCAGAAGCCAAGTGGATTAGAGAATAATGACAGTTGCTTTATTGTGGATCTTTTTTAAGTATTGGATTGATCATGGGGTACTCTGTTCTTGCTATAGTATATGTAGTGTGGGGGGTGGGGGAGGCAGGGGAAGGTTAATTCGGACAACCTAGAACAAAAGGAAATATCAGAGACTTACATAGTGTCAAATTTTCAACTGAAGTATAAAAACTGAAATAATTTATATATTTCAGGTAGATCTACCTTCATATTGCGCTTGTCTAAATCTCACCTTCCTTCCGGGATTCTTGCACTTCAGCAGACGTCGATTCTCGAGAGTTTGTGTTAGAAGCTTCGATATCTTCAACCCCTTGTTTCTCTTCAAGGAATTCAATCAGGCCTTTCAGTGCAATCGAAGCCTTGTCTCTCTTCATTACTAGATCTCGTGCATTTGCAGGAGATGCCTTAACCATCTCGATAAGTCCTTTAAGGCCTTCGAGACTCTGAGAGTCCTTCATATCACGACTCGCACCATCTTTTTCCTTCTCTGGCTTTGACAAAACTTCTACTTTAGTTACTTCAAGATTTTCTTTGAATGCTTTAGCTTCTTCACTTTCCTTCTTCTTCTCGAGGAATTCAATCAGGCCTCTAAGTACAACTTCAGGACCATCACTCTTCAACAACTGCTCGCCTACTTCAGCAGGGGTCACCTTGGTTGTCCTCATCATTTGCTCGACTTCCATGATAAGTGGGTGCTCTGTGATACCAAGATAAGTAGAAACGAGCATTTTGAATGCATATGGTGTGCAATAGGACATGTGAATATGCACATCCATACGACCAGGGCGCAGCAAGGCTGGATCGAGCTTGTCTTTGTGATTTGTCGTGAACACAATGATCCGCTCATCCCCACAGCTCGACCACAATCCATCAATGAAATTCAGCAATCCGGACAAAGTTACCTGGAATAAACAGAATGGACCCAATGTGGTTCAGTGCTCTCAATCTCATTCACAAAAAAAAAAAAAAAAAAAAAAAAAAAAAAAAAAAAAAAAAAAATTAAAAAAAAAAAAAAAAAAAAACCCCTCATGGTCACAATTCAAAATGTAAAATTAAAGTGATTTTTAACCTCTTATTCACAAAAAAAAAAAAAAAAAAAAAAAAAAAAAAAAAAAAAAAAAAAAAAAAATCACAATAATCTATGAATCAAACAATGAATATAGCCCTTTCACAATTACTTCGGTGTCTGCCCTGTGATTTCCGTAACATTGTTATGTTTATTATTGGATCTACTCGAACATCTATAGATCCAGGACCACACACTGCAGAAAACAGCAGAGCTAAAGCTCCGTGAAAATTACACATCAAGAAATTTCAGTCACATGAAGACACAGCAGGAATTCCCATGAAATTTGATGTCCAATTCAGTTAATATTAACCAATCTCAAGGTTTTGAACAGCTGAAACAAGAAAGAAAGAAAAAAAAATAATCTTTTTACTAGGCTACTTCAAAGCGTAGTGCATAAGAAATTGCATTTATACTACAAAATATTTTGAGGACATGTTAGGTGCATCGTATTAGATTACGGGATACAATTAAGAGGGATAGGGTTAAGGAGGATAAGATTAGAAGGGATAGTATTAAGATGGAATAGGGATGCTTGTTTTAATATGGCGTTTAGTGTTACACCATGTTAGAAGACCGTATAATTAATAATTTTGTAAAACTTTGCGACAATATTTTTCTATAAGATTTTTTTAACTTAATGGGTGAATATTGTTATTTATAATAGGAATATATAAAAATTATTTTTAGAAGTGACTTTTAGTTTTTATACTTATGATTGAAACTTTTAGCTATTAGAAGCATTTTTTTTACTTAGATGCATTTTTCACATAAAAGTGATATTTTGTCTTACAAGTAATGTTTTTACTTATAAATGAATATTTACTTATAAATCAAAGGGTGACAGAAGTAGCAGAAAAGGATCAAGAACAAGAAGCTTGAGTGATCTTTTTTGGAAGTGGCACACCTTAATTAACCCCTATTTCTGCACCCTCAATTAAGGTTTTTGAGGCTTGTTATAACCATGGATTCAATCTCCTTTTAGAATCATTATTAGGGGTGAAGTTAATAGATTGAGATCTTCACCTCTTCCAAAGTTCAAGTTCTTGAAAGCAGCAGAAGTTATTTAGAAGATTGTTAATGGAAAAAGCTGAGAAGGAAAGGGCCTTAATGCCAAAGCAGAGAAAGCATTTGATCCTTCTTTTCCTCATTCTATAAATGGTTATTCTTCAGAGAAAAAAAAAAAATAGAGGAGCAAATGGGAAATGGGGAAGAAAGAGGAAAAATGTTTTAAGACGAGAATACCTTCACAGTTGGACAGAAAGGATGTTGTGTGCAAACAAAAGTATAATTAAGGGTGAAAATGTCAAAAAGTAGAATGTATGAACATTTTTCACAATAATAGTGAAAGGTAGAGATGTAATTGCTAATTACCCTTTAGTTCTAATAGTTTTTTTTTTTTTTCCCTTAGGTGTCCGAGCT